CCCATCACTAACTACAACAACACTGACTTTGACTGTAACAAACCGACAAGCCCGAACCCTGTTTCCAGCCCATTTGAATCAAATCGAAGCGGTCACGTGACTGTGCGCCGAAACGAAGCTTCGGACGTGACTGATCACGTGATCAGCAGCGATCGAACCGAGCACCGATACATTTGCTTCGCCTTGCACTCATATTTCGACACTAGTGATGGCAAGTTCGGATCATTTTACCGACTCGGTTCTTTGAATCTCGTTCAGTAAAATGAACAAATCTTTTTTTGATTCATTTCGGGGGGGGTAAGATAAATTTCTGCATTAAAATAATGTATCATGACTAGGGGTGGGAATCTCTTGGCACCTCACGATTCGATTCCAATTCAGAGGTCAACGATTCGATTCTAAATTGATTATCGATTCTAAAGCGATTATCGATTCTAAACTGATAAAACGATTAGCGATGCATCTCGATTTTCTAAATTTTCTGAGTTTTGCTACTCAGAGGTTGCTAATCACTTCCTACTTTATTTGATAATTAAATTAAATCAACAGATGAATTACCTTCTCTAATTCTTTATTAGAGAAAAAAAAATCTTTGTCACAAATATGATTTTCTATCAACAATGCAAGAACCAACGCAGCTTGCATTTCAACGCAATATGGAAGTAGCCTATGTAAAAAACATATTAAACAGATTCTTTTTTCTTTTATATGAAGGAAAAGCTGCTCTTAGTCTCAGACCGGCCCGTATTTGTAAAATACCGGAAAAAAGTCAAAATCTGTGAATATCTTGACAACTTTCAATACGGATCGACTTTTTGGAAACTCGAAATAATGAGGTAAGATATGTGCAGGCTCCTCCATAGTTCGGTAAAGTTATTAGATATTCAGATTCAGACTAACGGAGCGGTCTGCGAGCTGGACACATTGCTCTTAATGTGCCGGTAATGATGGTAAATGATGGTTGTAGCCAATGCTGTAAATTAGAGGTGGGTAAACTCTGAATTTTGTGATCATACAGACCTCGACGCGATGGGAAGCAACGCAACACAAAGTGTCGCGACTTTTGTAAGGCTGTCCTGGCTATATTGCATTATGTTATCAGTAAAAGTCATATACAATCAATGCCAATGAATAAATGTGTATGAACAACATAAGTTAAAGGAACACTCATGTACTACCTATGTCATCATAAATAGCCTATACAGCATGTTTTTTTCACATTGAGAACTGACTTGTTTTCTAATCTACGCGTCACCAGGCGTTTTTCTTTTGCCGTGCACGACCTGGGAACACAGAGCGCGCGACTACTACCCCCCCCCCCCCCCCGTCGGACCTTCTCGACCGGTCTGCGAAATATTGTCTGACATGAAACCGGTCCGTGGAGTAAGAAAGGTTGGGGACCACTGGGCTGATCCACAACGTGTGTTTACACACCTCCTGGATCCTGACTGGCGTCGCTGCTGCAGCCGCAAGGCACTGATTGGATGCTCACAGACCGTAATACAGTGCAGATGAAAATGATTCAGACTACGTCGTTTATATGTTCAACAATAGGAAACGTAGTCTTAGCTGTTTTAAAATTACACCACATTTATTTAGGATTATTCCAAAGGAAGAATACAAGGCGCAGGTAACTTTGAGGTGCGTAAACGCTATTTATAGGTGCGTAAACGCTATTTCCAAAATTATAGAAGTGCGTAAAATGTGCGTTTACGTGCGTTTACCCTCCACTACAGCCCTGGTTATATTATATAGTTTATCACTATATAATAATTTTTACTTGTATGGTGACTAACCATTTAACTTCATGCCCCCTCAACGGTAAAACATATTAATTAATACATGAATTTAAGAGTTAACCGGTTAAGCAGCCTGTCAATTACACTGACAACATAAGTTAAAGGAACACTCATGTACTACCTATGTCATCATAAATAGCTACAGCATTTTTTTTTCACATTGAGAACTGACTTGTTTTCTAATCTACGCGTCACCAGGCGTTTTTCTTTTGCCGTGCACGACCTGCGAACACAGAGCGCGCGACTACTACCCCCCGTCGGACCTTCTCGACCGGTCCGCGAAATATTGTCTGACATGAAACCGGTCCGTGGAGTAAGAAAGGTTGGGGACCACTGGGCTGATCCACAACGTGTGTTTACACACCTCCTGGATCCTGACTGGTGTCGCTGCTGCAGCCGCAAGGCGCTGATTGGATGGTCACAGACCGTAATACGGCGCTGATGAACATGATTCAGACTACGGCGTTTATATGTAACGTGCGTTTATGTGCGTTTACCCTCCACTACAGCCCTGGTTATATTATATAGTTTATCACTATATAATCATTGTTACTTGTATGGTGACTAACCATTTAACTTCATGCCCCCTCAACGGTAAAACATATTAATTAATACATTAATTTAGTATTTAGTAATAGAACATAACAAATAAAAAAGGACAACTAGATGTGTTAATGATTGTCTTGAACATCAACCCCGAGAACAAACCTTCTGATTCGTTTGCTGATTTTAGTCACTAAAGATGGTTGAGATCAAGTTACCATTAACATTGGAGTGAGTAAATTATCCTATTAGAATATTTAGAATTTGTCATTTTGGGAGCAGTTAACACACATTTGTCTGATCCGTTTTTTATCATATTTATTTATTCATCTATCTAAACTGTAGGAATGTTGAAGGGCTGCAGCTCGCATGCTGAGGTGCGTAAACGCTATTTATAGGTGCGTAAACGCTATTTCCAAAATTCCAGAGGTGCGTAAACGGTGTTTACGTGCGTTTACCCTCCACTACAGCCCTGGTTGCAGCTGGTTGTCATATACGGTCCACTACGATTACCGAAGGGGGGCGTTTGTTTTTTCTCATAATTTCGACTTTCTATCCCCTTTCCTTAATGCGGAAATGGGCTTCAATAGGTGTGTGAACGCATCACTCCAGCCAATCCAAAGACGCGGTTTGTAACCAATCAGGTGTAGAGACCATGGTGACTGGCTCCGCCCCCTTACTGTCAAAAAGAAAAACAGCGAGCGCGTAGAAAACACCTTCGAGCGCGAGCAGAGACTAACCTCGCGAGCGAGGAAGTTCACGCTACGCGAGGGAGCAAAATGAACGATGAATAGACTTTCTTTTTTTTTTTATTCCGAAAAAAAATTCGGATCTCTAAAGTTTTAAACCAACTTTAGAGATCTACTACTTCGATAGATCTACTACTTCGATGAAGATAATGGGTTGTGGCAGGTTCGTCCTACGGGGGTCCCGGAATGACGAGAATGCAGCGGCCTGTTCCATGTTACACTCTTTATTTTAATGTTCATACATAATAATAGACAGCCGGCTCCAGCCTCCTCGCTCAGCACTCTCTCGCTGTCGCTGGATTTCTCCCACTTAAAGGTAGAACACACAGACACACTGATTAATCTCAGCTGAGGCCAATTGCCTCCCCCGGCACCGTTCCCTGAACCACTCCCCTCTCCGTCCCCCCTGCAGCCGAGCCAAACCGCGCCCGCCACCACACACACTTACTAGTTATAGGGAACACAAATCTATATTCTTACTTGACAAAGCAGCAAATCATACAGGAGAGAGAGCGCGTTGGGAAAACTTAAATAATGTTTGGTCTTAAGTCACAGTAGCTGAAGCATTGTTGCTTTAGAACGCCACAGAGTGTGTGACCTCCCAGCAGAGAAGCCTGGATGAGTAACTAGTGTGTGTTATCTCAACTAGACGGAGACACAGACCTTGGAAGCCTTGACGCATGTCTCATGTGTATATATGAATTGGGAGACTAAGATGCAGACCTTCCACCTTCAAGCATAACTGGTGTGTGTGTTGTCTCAAGTATATAAATCAGAGGGCTGAGACGCAGACCTCCGAGCAGCAACTCAACACACGACTTGTTTCAACTCTGCTCCTACTTGCTAGTGTTCTTTAATAAATGTCCTGTTCAACGATTTTACACACGTGTTGTTTAGGACGGTCTTAATGAGTCTCATGGTTTCTTGTCTTATGAAAAGTAAAACCCTCTTCAGATATCTGTGAAGAATCACTGCTTTGCCCCTAAAATGTTCACTCTTCTTGCTCTTTTGTTGGACGTCTGCAGGTCAAAGACTCGTCCATTTATCCTCAAAGACAACAGAGAACACTGAATATTCAGATCATTGTAGATACTACGACCACAACATGTGCTGATAAGACGCAGGATTTACAAATGTTATGTTGTTACGATAAAATGATCTCAGGCGATGTGAGTCTTCCATTTGCAGCAACTCCCAGCATGCTTTAAACCAGTGAAGTGAAGAACACGACGTTTAGAGTCCAAAGGGAAACAACATGCATGTGATTGTGGCTGCAGTCACAGAGGGGAAGCACATGGAATCACAACAACACACAAACATCTGGAGCATTTATTGAACAGCAGGACAAAGGTACAAAAAGGGGAAATGGAGCAACTTCATTCCACCTTCATCTACAAAACAAGAAGTGATTCAGAGCATCACTGTTCAACTCCCACGAAACCAAGAAGGAAAACATCCCTTCATCCAAAACAGCAGCAAGAAATAGTCAATAACATTTCAATCAGTGTGCTCGGATTATTCAAACCCAAATTTAAATAATATGATACATTAAAACGGATCAAAAGACGTTATGAACCAATAAGCATACTCTTGATTTATTCAAAACACCCTGAAAGACAAATTATTTTCTCTAGCCTGTTAAATTCAATCTACGGTAAAGAAAAACACAAGCAAACTATTTACACAACCGGAAAATAAATGTTCTAATGTCTATATTGTGTGTGTTGGAGCGTCAACATGATTCATCCTGATGAGTGTGGACGGGGATGGACTCCCTCCCCGTCCACACTGGGAGAGAGATGGAAGCCAGTTAGTCACCAGCATGAGACACAGATAGAGATAAAAAGACAGACAAGGAGACAGACATACAGACTGTAGTGGCCCCTCGGATTGATTGATGAAGACGCAGAGTGTTTCAAACGGGTGTTGATTTATTTTGTTTCTCTCGACCAGCACCATAAGCACCATGACGTCGTGAACATCTTGAACACCGTGAACACTACAGAAACAGAAGAAATACACAATGCTTCTATGTAGTTTCAAAAATTAACTTATACAAAATAATGTTTACACTGGATACAAATCATTTGAAATACTAGCCAAAGTGAAATGAAATACGTTTAGAACGCTATGACAAATAAAACAACACATGCATCCTTCATACCTCAATCCGCTCTCCAAGGGCGCTAATCAAAGGAATTTCCTCCACCTGCTAGCATCTCGGCACACGCTCATAATTAGGAGCTTTTTGAAATGACAGGTACGAACAACACAAAATAATGAAATAAATTACGATTTATACTCTTTCTTTACATTATTCGAATGTATTTAACACTATACATAATAAGTTTACAAGTTGTATTGGCAATCTTAGGTTTGCTGCCCCTTTAGCTGGCTTCTTGTTGTTCTTTGCCATCAGGCACAGGTGGGAGTGATGTTTCGACGCAGACACACAAAAGATTTTCCAGTGATGATTTTAGTTGAGGTTTGTAATTTATTGCAGGCAATTGTATAAACAGATGAACATACCGGTTGAACGTGCTCCTATTGATGGTGGTCTGTCTTCGTGGTCTGGTGAGAACTGTCTGGTGCTCCCCTACCTGTGCCTCGCTTCCTGTCACCTACGTCCCTTATGTACACCCAGGTGCACCTAATCACCGCCACCTAGTGTCCAAAGTGTCAATATAAATACGGTGTAACAAACAAAATATACTTTGCCAACAACAACACATAATGGCTCCTACACACCGGCCCCTAATTGTCTTTTATAACAATTACCAAAAAATAATAAGGGAATGTGTTGGCAATTAATTCTCTTCACTGATTCTTCGGTCTTCTTTTGAAGTAGTCATTTTTAGGGCCCGGGGCTCCAAAACTTGGAACCTGGTGGTATCTGGTCCTTACCACCAGGCCTTACTAAATATCAGTTTCTTTAATCAGACATATCTTCGTTATTGGTCTTTCCAATATGTTGGTTTTTGTCTGAAGTCGGACGGTACGCACAAGGCCTTGTGCATCTGCTTTCGTCTCCAGTATTCTACCCATTAACCAGGAGCCTCGTGGTGCAGTGGAGTCGACCACCACAACTATGTCACCTGGGGCGAAGTTCCTTTTTACCTTTGACCACCGCTGTCGTTCTTGAATTAATGGTAAGTACTCCTGTGTCCACCTTTTCCAGAAGAGATCTGCCATGTATTGTACTTGTCTCCATCTGCGCCTTAGATACAAGTCCTCTCTTACGAAGAGTCCAGGTGGTAGTATCGGCTTGGTTTTCAACAGAAGGAGGTGGTTTGGGGTGAGTGCTTCCAGGTCCATTGGGTCCTCTGAGAGCTTGGTAATGGGTCGATCATTTAGAATTGCTTCAACTTCACAAATTAAAGTTTGCAATCCTTCATCATCCAGAACTTGTTGGCTAAGAACAGAGCGCAGCACGTTTCGGACCATGCGGATCAAACGCTCCCATACACCGCCGTGATGAGATCCTGCTGGGGGGTTAAAGTGCCATTTAATTCCCTTCTGAAGCATAGCTGTCTGGATTTTGTCCTGATTCAAGGCATTAAGTGCTTCTCTCAATTCTCTTTCAGCTCCAACAAAGTTTGTTGCGTTGTCTGATCTTAAAGACTGCACTTGACCTCGCCGACAAATAAATCTTCGTAGTGTATGGATGCAGGAGTCTGTGTCAAGAGTATATGCAACTTCGAGATGCACTGCCCTGCTTGCCATGCAGGTGAAGATTACGCCATATCTTTTAACAAGACTTTGTCCTCTTTTGATCGCTATAGGGCCGAAGTAGTCTACTCCTACGTCTGTAAATGGAGGCTTGTCTGGTAGAATCCTTTCCAGAGGTAAGTCTGCCATTTTCTGTTCTCCAACTCTTCCCTGCAGTCGTTTGCACACAACACAGTTTGTTATGATCCTTCTTGCTGCAGAGTTAGCTTTGATAATCCAGTACTTTTTACGGAGTCGGGACAGCATATGATTTCTTCCCCCATGGCCAATTTGTTCGTGGATATGTCGTAGCAATAGTGTGGATACGTGCAGGTCTTTTGAGAGAATCACTGGGTGCTTGGCCTCTTCAGGCATCGCTAGTCTACTCAGGCGACCGCCGACTCTCAGAAGTCCATCGTCCAACACCGGGTCCAGCTTGTACAGATGACTGCTTCTTTTAACACCATTTTTACCAGCCCCTAGTGTGGATAGTTCTTCTTCAAAGCTTTGCCTTTGACTGAAAGAGATAACAGCACGTTCTGCATGCATCAAGTCCTCGTGATTTAAACACTGTCTTTGGAGTGTTGCTTTAAAGGCGTGCATTTCCTTTAGTTGGCTGGCCTCGTCTTTTAAAATACTCACAGCGGTCTGGATCTCCTTTCTTTTTCTAGTCAGCAGTAATAGAGTTGTTTTTACTTTAAGTAGCCACGCTACAGCTGTCATTAGACTTTTCCAGGAAGAGAAATAACTCATTAAAGAGCTGGTGGGGTTCAACGGACCTTTCACAATGAGGTTACTTGTGATGTCTTGCTTGACTTCTGGATCATTGACAGAGATTGTGGTTTCCAAAAAAGGTTTCTGCCATTCTTTTTCTGGTTGATAGAGAAACTCTGGTCCTTTGATCCATCTCCTGCAGCTTAAGAAGCGGTTTGCCGTTAGTCCTCTAGAGGCTTCATCTGCTGGATTTTCCTTTGTGCTGACATATCTCCATTGTGACACGTCGGTAGCGTCCCTTACGAAGGAGATTCTATTTGCTACGAAGGTTCGGAAACGTTTTGTTTCGTTGGTGATGTATTTCAGCACTGTTGTGCTATCCGTCCAGAAGGTGGATTTGTTCAGGTGAAGCTGTAATTCTCTCCGAAGCATTATATCAACTTTGACAGCTAGAACTGCAGCAGTAAGCTCCAATCTGGGAATCGTTACTTGCTTTAATGGTGCAACTCTTGCTTTCCCTATCATGAAGGCAATGTGCACCTCCTTTTCGTTGTTTTCCAGTCGAAGATATGAAACTGTACCATATCCACTTTCGCTGGCGTCTGAAAAGTGGTGTAACTGTGCATGTCCAATTTGACCAAAGTTTGTGGGCTTCATGCAGCGGTCCACTTTTAACTCTGTCATGTTGTTTAGATCTGTCAGCCATTGTGTCCATTGTTGAGAAATGGTTTGGGGTATGTTTTCATCCCATCCAAGGTGTTTTCTACAGAGTTCCTGCATAATCAGTTTGGCTGGCAGAACAAATGGCGCCAGGAATCCCAAAGGGTCGTATACAGAGCCAACCACGGACAGGATGCCGCGTCTGGTGTATGCTCGTGAGGGTGCAGTCATTCTGAACGTGAACACGTCTGTCTCAACGCACCAGTGCAATCCTAGTGCTCTTTCCGTCGGCAGGTTGTCCTTGTCCAAGTCCAACTCTTTTATTTCCTTGGTTCGGTTTTCTTGTGGAATTGATGCCAATACCTTACGGCTGTTGCTGATCCACTTAGACAGTATGAATCCTCCCTTCTGGCAGAGAGTGGTCAGGTCTCTTACCATAAGAACAGCGCCCTGTTCTGTAGACATTGATTTCAAACAATCATCTACGTAAAAGTTGTTTTTTACAGTGTCTATAACCTCTGCTGGAAAGTGAGTTAGGTTATCTTCAGCGGTCTTTCTTAGTGCAAAATTTGCACAACTCGGCGATGACACTGCTCCAAAGAGGTGTACTTTCATCCGATATTCGACGAGATCCTGCTGCACGTCACCATCAGGCCACCATAGGAATCGCAAGTAGTCAATATGGTTGTCTGACACTTTGACCTGGTGAAACATTGCTTTGATGTCAGCCATCAGGGCAACAGGCTCTTGTCTGAATCTGAGGAGTACTCCTATAAGTGAGTTGGTAAGATCTGGACCCTGTAGCAATTGTTCATTGAGCGATGTTCCTTTGAAGCCAGCGCCGCAGTCGAAGACCACTCTCAAGGTTCCTCTCCTCGGGTGATACACCCCGTGATGTGGGATGTACCAGAGTTTCCCATCAGTACGATTCAGTTGATCCTCTGGTATCCTTTCCGCATAGCCGTTGTTAACCATTTCTTTGAGAAAAGTTGTATATTCTTTGCGAAACATCTCCTTTTTAACAAACTTGCGTTTCAGGCTTTGGATGCGTTGCTCTGCTATGCAACGGTTGTTTGGCATGCGGGGATTTTCTTGCTTGAAAGGTAAGTCTATACAATAGTGACCATCTGTAATTTTTGATGAGTGATTCACGATATCCAGGAATTTTATTTCTTCTCTGGACATTTCCTCTCTTTCATTGCTGCTTTCTTCATTGTAGTCATGATTGTATTGTTTAACCAGTAGCTCCTCTAAGTTCACGATGGACAGTCGGTTGACAGCAGCAGCAGGGCAGCCATTCTCATCCCTGCTGTTGTCTCCTCTCAAAGGACCATATATGACCCACCCCAATAGGGTCCTCACAGCGTATGGTCCATTGGCTTGGCTATTGACCACCTCCCAAGGTTCCAATGCCTTAGAAGCATTTGTGCCTATGAGCAGGTCAATGCCAGAATCTATTTCATGAATCTTGACGTCCTTCAAGTAAGGCCATTGCATCAGGTCTTCTTGTCTGGGAATGTTGAGCTTGGAAACAGGCATGATCTTATGTGTAAATACATTGGGCAGTTGTATGAAATCAGTTTTGTCCAGACTTGATATCTCTAAACCTGGGATATGATGACTAGTCACAGGTTTCACTTGGTTCATTGTACGTAAAAGAATACTAGTCTTTTGTCCTGTTACATTCAGTCTTCTCATCAGGCTTTCTGTGCAGAAGGTGGCTGAGCTTCCATGGTCCAAAAACGCATACGTCTGCAACACAGTGTCTCCTTTGGGGGTCTTCACTTGTACTGGCACAATAGAGAAGAGACAGGCTATTTCACCGGCCCCAATATGCCCACATGTATGAGGTGAGAGAACAGCATTGCTCCCAATTGATTTTCCATCCAATTCTGTTTTCCTTCCTATGTCTCTTTGTTCAATGTGAAGTATTTCAGGATGATTTTTGTTGCAGATGTCACAAGTCAAACGACTATCGCAGTCTTTGCTCATGTGTCCTACCTTCAAACAGCCAAAACAGACTCCCCTTTTCTTTAAGAAGTCAATTTTTTCCCTGTGCATCTTTTTCCTAATTTGTGGACACCGCGCCAACGCGTGACCATCTCTCTCACAGAACAAACAGGAATTTTGAGGGTTGGTGACGGATACATTTTTCATTCCACTTGTCATTTTTTCTTGTATTGGCATTTCCACAGGTGTTGCAGTAGTTGCAAAACTGCTTCCTCTTGGTCTCGGCCTCTCTCTTGCTGTGACATAGGGTTTGACGGATGTAGT